GACACGACCTGTTTTCAGAAAATATTCAACCGTGAATATTGTATACGTGTACTCGATAATTAAGATCGATGGTTGCTGCATAGAACATAAATGATGTTTGCAGTGCATCTGTAAATATAATCTAAATCTCAAAACGTGTATTTTCACATTTCTATCGGAACGCGTGCTTGTAAATTATCATCGTATTATCATGTTTACAGATTTACGTTACATTATGCAACTCATTTTGCGTAAAATTGGATGAAACAACCGGATTTCGGAGGAAAAGTGCTTTTATCTTTATAATGCAATATGACTGTGCGCGAAATTTGAACATGTTGAATTTTTTTCGCATATTTTTTTTTTCTTTTTTAACGTTAACGGAATAATTTTGAAACGAAATATTAAAATTAAAAATGATTAAATTTTTTAGCCGAGTTCGAAATTCTAAATTCTTTTTTCTTGTTGATTTCCATCACTTTAAAATAACAATTTTAGTTTCACTATATTTTTAAATCCGTGACATATTATTTCCAATGATTTCCTATTTATATATATATATATTTTTTATAAATGTATAAAAATTCAATAGATTCAATACTTTATTCGTATATCATAAAATATCGATTTCTTGCTTATATAATATCCATTTTTCAATATACCCTTGTATGTGCCTGTCGAATATACATTTTACATTATTCCGATAATAATAATTTTGAGGAGCATAAATATTAAATAAATATCAGACAAATTACAATATTTTTAAAAAATTGTAAAATCAATAATATTTAAATATATTTTAATATTGTATATTCTTTCAGCAATATTCTTCCTTTGCTAAATTATTATCCAAATATGAGAGCTCGTAAATTAAACATACATGGATTTAATGCCATACATGTACAACTTAATAAATCCAATTCAGGATAGTCAGAAAAATTCTTTCTGGGTAAAAAAATAAAAAATAAAAAAATAAAAGAAAATAGTATAATTAGTTAGAACTAGTTTTTGGTTTTCCCAATTATTTATCGTTTCACCTTCATTTAGCCATGATATTAGTCATGATCTCGCTAATTCACTGTATTCCCATTCTTTCCACACACAGAATTTTACTTCACTAATTGTACAACTTTCTCCCATTCTTTCCGCACAAAGAATTATTCTGACAACAAGCCTGGTCAAACTTTAAATCTACTCTCATGTATAAACGTGGCCACGTGAAATTTTTCCTTCGAGAACTTCACATGAAATCTCATCCACCAATTACGAATTAACAAACTAACTTGCCAATTTTCTTGAACTCCAATGAACAATCCTGATCCAGTCAAGCAAACCTTTTCACAATCCTCTTCGCTCAAGAAAATGAAACGCCAATCTACAAGATTGATAATTGAAATAAAGGTTACGAGATCGACGAGAAGACGAAGTTCACGATTAATTTGATAGATAATACTGTCTTTGCAGATTTCGATAAGAGAGACTTGTGTCGTGGTTGAACAGGCTCGGCACCAGTCGAACAATTCTGTCATTCCCTTTCGTGATGGGACCCACGAAATGTCCTTTCCATCGACCATTGTGGAAAGAGAGAGTGAGAGAAAGAGAGAGAGGAGACGAGAAGGGAGAGATTCACAAGGGAATTATCGGTACTTGATTGCGCTTAATCCACAAAGTTTTCTCGTTTGACTTCGCCTCGACCTAAGACCCACGTCACCGGTTTTCACCGGTGCACGATTTTCCTTGTCGGGATCCCCCTAAACGAAGAATAAGGCCGAAAAAGGAGAAAAATCCATATGAAAAAGCGAAAGGCTGGCGAACCTCTTGCTAACGATGCTCGTTTGGTGGAATGTGTTTGCACACTTGTTACACCGAGTCTTCTCCCTCGTTTCCTTCCCTTCGCGTCCCCTCCTCTTATTTTTTCCTCCTCCTCCTCCTCCCGATTTATTTTTATCATTTCTCGAATGATTTTCTTAATTGTGTTTTCTTAACGCGACAAATATACTTCGACGATGAATTTTGATAGGTATTTTAACAGGGGATGTGTAGTAATATCGAAAATCGAAAGAAGGGTGTTTCTTTGTAAATAAGAGAATTGAAAATATAATTCTTGGAATGAAAGTTACTCTCTGGATGTAGAAATAAGTAAAAATAAAATATATATATATATAAGAAAATTTTCTTGGATTAAATCAAATTAAAAAGTATTTAATATATTATTGAAGATTTCGAGCATATTCGAAGTTGATTTTGATCGAAAAAGATGTTAAAACAAGATTAATTATAATTTTATCCGATATATTTCGAATGAAATATTGTATTATTCCCTGATTATATTATTTTCATTTGTCATTATTACAAAATATTTATATTTAGTTTCGAATATCAGCTTGTTAGCGCTATTTCGAAATATCAAGATTCTCTGTGTACAGGTATTATAATAATCCCAATTGTCTGAACAGCCTACCAAATTAATTCCATTCTGTTTCACGATTTTAGTGCATTTCGTGACGTCTATTTCTGGGGTTTGCCTCCCTCTCTCTGTTTCCATCCTCCTCCTTCCATCCTCTCAATTCATAACGCACGTATACGGCTCAAACTAATTTCAGGCAGAGAAGCAATGCTTCTTGCGACATAATTCCTACAGTTTAAATCCTTCGAGCGATATTTATAGGATAGAATGCACGTCGTACAAAATTTAAAGCAATATTCATTATTATTATTATTATAGCTTTAGGAATTTCTATCTTTGAAAGCAATAGACGCACACATATATATTTATTTTCGAATTAATTGAATTCAATATATAAAAAATAAATAATTTTCTTATTTGTATTATTAATTTATTAATATTACCATTCCATAATTAAATAAAATATAATTTTCATTCTGATACGATAATTAATATCAAATTTGAACTCGTATCACGTAGCTCAATTATCCCCAGAAATTTCTTAAAAATTTAACAAAATAATATGCAAGATGTTTCATTGAATTTCTGAACTTTCAAACTTCCTTTCAACTCTCATTCTTGGATATTATCCAAGAAACTAAAAAAAAAAAAAAAAAAAAAAAAATCTTACGAATTATCATTCTATACGTTTCCATTTTAAAGAAACTACCTTCCTCTCGATAATCTACGTAAAAGGGGGAAATCTTAAAAGGGAAAGAATTACGAGGATTAACCGCACTGCTAACACCCAGACCCCATACATCGATTATAAAAATCCTCGAGATTCCTTCTGCATAAAATTCCCTTGAATCGCTCTTAAAGCCGATCTTACTACTCTTACTACTCTTTTTTCTTCTTCTTCTTCTTCTTCTTTTCTTTTTTTTTCTTTTTACAATCCGTTCTACAAATATCCGAAATCTTCTTTGCACGATGGCAAAGGAAGGAGGCGGTCTTAACACAGCCAAGAGTAGTCCTTCGTAAGTAGTAAAGACACGAAAGAGACAGGCACGTGGAGGCCAGGACGCATGCGTGTCGTGTTGCTCCTGCAGGACTTCATGCACGACAAGTCAGTCTGCATCTGGACTCCGGCTCGCGTACATTTTCCGGCTGTGCATGTGAGTGACTTGTAAACCAACGAAATCCTGTGGTGGACGACTATGAGGGTAACCACGTTGAATCAGCTGATCTTGTGGAGCTCGTTGATCGTCATCGTTGGAGCCGTTCATCGATCAGAAGGTGAGCGATCCAGGCGATTCGAAGAGAAATAAATTTCGAATAATAATATTCGTCCAACCTCGTGTTTTGGATATAATAAGAAGAGACACGGTTCGCATCCTCGGAGATATCGTGAATGAGGTGATAATCTTCTGATGTTTCCTTGGTATTTGAGAGACGATTGAAGACGTTACATAATTCTGTGCTATTCGCTATGATCCGTGAATCACTTGTTCGGATGTGTATATGGGAAAAACGGATGCAAGAATTGTGGAGAAACGGATTAAGGAACGAAGGATACTTTTGTTGTGCGCGTGCCGCCTTGCACGCCATTCATTACGATTATGTAAATCCGGCTCGGCGTGCCGCTTTGAAAATCTTGGCGTGGAAAAGGATATTACAATTAATTTTCTTCCCGCGTTCCCCGTTGATGGCAACTCATCCACACTCGGCTATCTTGATTCATTTCGTTGGAGAGATGTAACCGCGTGAACGATGACGTGGTTTGTGTAATACGGTTTATTCCTCGCCTTTGAATTTTAGTTGGAATTTGGAATTGGCACGATTGGATGCAAATATGAATCGTAGAAATACATTTCGAATTTTATTTTGTAATATTTAATATTTAATATCGATGGATAATCGTGAAGTTTGTTGATTCTATTTTTCTTTTTTATGGAATTGAAGGAAGGACATTTTTAAAAATATGTTTTTGAAATTTTGCTTTGTTCGAGTCGAAATAGAATTTGTGATTTTATTTTTTTTTTTCTTCAAATAGAGTGTTTCTTTTTTTTAATTCTGTAATAATTTATTCCATTTTATAAATTATGAGATTCTTTTATGAAAATTTTCTTTCATCAAAATTATACTTTAAAGTGAAGAATTATTTAATGCATATTGAGAAGCGGAAAAGTTCTTTCTGAATCTTTCACGTGGCCATTTGAAACTCCGAGTCAAAGTAAACTTTGACGTCCTGAGCAACTTTTTGCAAAGAACTTTCCACGAGGCTAGAACGAGGAGTCGTTCTAAATAACAACAAATATACTAGGCTGCTTGTATATATAGGAAATTATCTATGATGTTTGAAGAAACATTTAATTTCATTTAATATATATAGAATTATTTTATTTACATTGAAAGATACTTAAAATATATGTGATGTAAACATTCAACGTGATATAAATTCTGAGAATGAAATATAAATAAGAAGTTATTAAATGGAGATAGAAGATTAAATTTATTATGATTATATAAGAAATATTTGAAAGGTAGATTAATTGATTTATAGTCAATATATGTTTTGATATACAAAATTCTTTTCTTCTCTACTTATGCGTATAATTATGATTCATTCGACTCAATAATTAGTCTAACAGTTTGATTTAATGGATTATCTCCATTTGTTCTATCAATAATATATAAGTAGGCGAATAAACATTACTCAAAATAATGTTCAAAATCATTTTAATATTAAAATTATAATATTTATAAATTTATACTCCTAAAATTATATTACCATATGAACAATAATACAATTGAAATTAATTATAATAGATGCCATTAATTAAAATTGGGAACATATTATGTCTAACATGATTAGTTAACATAGGAATATATTTGCATAAAAATTTTTAACAGATACAAAATTATGATCAAGTATACTCATATTATCATTGTTACAAACATTCAATCAAATAATAAATATTAGATAAGAGTAAAAAAAAATATTGATTAAATAAAAAATCATTGATTTGTATTTTATTCAAACAATGGATTTAACAGCAATTTTTGGGGTAATTATGTCGAAGAGAAATAAAGATGTGAAATTTTGTAACAAGATGAGAATGTAAAGAGGGGAAAACACTTACGAGAAGTCAGTCTATAACTTTATACTACAATGAAAGTAGGACTTTCTGTGCCGTTGAACGGAATGGATTTCCTAAAATTGCTATGAATGATGAATAGAATAATGTCAATAGGATTACAAGCCTAATTCGTATTATCAATATTAATATATTTATTGAATCAGTATTGAAAGATATAATAATTTTGTCAATGTAATTTAAAATTTTTTACAAATTTAATTTATACAATATATATATATCAATTATATGATTATTGATCTGAGAAAAGAAGGGATTCAAATTATTTTCATTTCTAAGAAATACAGAAAAATTACATCCATAACACATATGGATGGTTAGTGTTATATTGTTCTTCGAAATTGGTCGTGATTTCTCTCCGGGGTAGCAACCCTCTGGAGAGTCAATGATTTGTGGTACACAAAGCTAGCAGTGATTGACCGTAGTAACAATGTTGTCAAAATGATCAAGAATTCAAAATATAGTTTTTTATATATGCAACTATGCGTGTTGTATATTATTTGTACAAGCATATTGACAAATAAAACGTAAAATTTAATTTACTTGTAATTGATATATTTGATGTTTCAATTAATTTTTTTCTGGGCTGGAAGTTTCTTAATTAAAAGAAATATCTGTTGATCGAGTAATAGCTATTCAAACAATTTGTAATTAAAATCTCTTTATACGTGTAAGAATAATGGAATAATGTGAAAAGTTAAGTTTGAAATATTCTGTTCATACAATATACAATGTATTGGCTTTTGAATCTTAGATATAAAATATTTTAAAAATTTAAATGTAATGTGTGGTATTGTGATACAATTAACATAAAAAATAGGTATGAATAAAATTTATCTAATCAACAATATTGCCTTGAATAATGAATATTAAAATATGAAGGCAAAGATGACGTACCACAACACTTTAAAATATTTAAAGCTTCAGAGAAATGGAGATAAAATGGTGTGAATCTTAAAAAGAACGTGATAAAACGTACGAAAGAATATAAAAAAAAAAAAATTTGCATAATTTAGTGGCTAAAATATTCATAATTCATAAATCTTTAATTAAAATTCATGTAAATGTATTATCCATTTTTATTGGAATTTATTTCCATCCCTTTTTTCATAATATTAATATGACAAATTTAATCATTCAATTTTTTTGCAAAACATTGATTCTCATAATATTATCAATAATCATTTCAATATACAAATATATATTTTTAAAAAATTCTTTCGTTAAAACTATTGCACATTGGTTCTTTCTTTACACACTTTTATATCTTGATCTACTTATTATTATTTATTATAAATAATTCAAATACCCAATTACTATTCTCATTACTATCTTTCAACTAAAAAATCCTTTTCAAACATTCTCAAACGAAACTTGAACGAATTCGATGACTATCAATCCTTTCGAAAGATCATCAACTCTATCGAAAATTGAATCAAAATCTAAAAAAAGAAAAAAAACAAGAGAGAAAAAATCGTAACGATTTCGAAAACTATATATTTCCAGCGGCGCATTCACGGCCATAACAGTTTGCATCGAAACGATGAACAATTATACGAACGCCCACACTTTTTTGGAAAACATCATTGTCCAGGATCGCGAATTATTATGTAGGTCACGTTTCGTTCGTTCGTTCCCGTCGTAATGTTTTCAACAAACCCTCCCCCTCCCATCCCCTTTATCGGGGACGGGTTACAGGTTTCAAAGGAGCGTGAAAAAACAAAGTGCAATTTGTACGAGGATCGTTGGTCCCGTACATTGAAATTCATCGGTCCGAATTTCCCCTCCCCTCTTCCCCCGATAGCCAAACTTTTAAATTAAAAGCCCCTCCCCCTTCTTCTCCCACGCTTAAAAATTTCTCCTAATCCCTGTTTAAATACAACGTAGCCAAGAGATTTGCATAAATTAACGTGCCGGGTCCTCTCGTGCGCGATCCTTTTCCCAACTTTTCGATCAACGTTTCCCGTTAATCGATCGCGAGAAAGCAAGCGAGAGTTTCGAGAGTTTCGAGAGTGAATCGTTGGTGTTCTTCTTCGCGTTGTTCTATTGCGCTATTGAGGGAGGGGGAGGGGGAGAGAGAGAGAGAGAGAAGGGTGTATCGCTGCTCCTTTTGAAATATACGGTTCATTGGTTCAGGGACTTTAGCAGATTCGAAAAATACGCTTTTTTGATTTATCACCGGGAGAAAATCGAGACATGGGAGTATCAATGCGGTATTTTTTTCAACGGTGCAATATGAATTATTGATATGACTTTTCTGTGTTCAATTGCGGGGTATAATGACGTTTAAAAAAGCGTGAGAATTTGCGTATGAATAATGTATGAATAAGTATAAAAAAATAAAAATTATGGTTGAAGATATGAATTATAAGGAGTGTGAATGATGTAAATGGGAGGAAAATGTAAAAAAGAAATTTGAAATTAAAGTAAATGATAGGAATATATATTGTTTTGTTTGGCTTTCGAATATAATTTTTAAATGATAAAGTATCGAGGAGAAATAATATCAATTGAAGAATTTCTACTATTTTGGAACTTATATAACTTTCTTAGGAGAATAGCAAATCTATATAAATTCTATTTTATTTTCTTTCTTTATCTTTTTATCCTTGATAAATTTAATTATCCAAGTGATGGGTTATAAATAGTAGCTTTTTGGAAATTTAAAAACAACAATCTGTGAAATATGGAACAGCGTATAAAATATTTAAAATTCTCTCAATTGTAGTTATTTAAAACTTGTGACTATCAAATTCATCAAACGATTCTCTCAATCAACAAAAAATAATGATTCAAACGGGGAGAATGAAAAATAAATATATTTTACGTGTCATTGAATTTATTTGTATCTCTTGAAAATTTTTTTCTTTTTTTTCGAAGCAAAGGTGCAATGAAACATACAGGCAATTCAATCCGGATAAATAAAGATGCAAATTTCCGGAAAGAAAGTAAAAGATACGAGGCAAAGATAATTTCATCGTTGAACGCATATCATGATTAATTAATATTCCTCTTTTATCAATGATCGAATAAAACTGAAAGGGAAGAAAGAATGACTTAAATGGACGTCGCGAGCATAAAGCAACGGAAGGATGTAATTAAAATTGGAACTCATAGAGACATAACGTGCGGAATTCT